GTGGTGGTAGTAGTAGTAGTAGTAGTAGTAGGAGTAGTAGTAGTAGTAGAAGAAGTAGAGGTAGAGGTAGAAGTAGAAGTAGAAGTAGAAGTAGAAGTAGAAGTAGAAGTAGAAGTAGAAGTCGTCGTCGTAGTAGTAGTAGTAGTAGTACTAGTAGTAGTAGTAGTAGTAGTAGTAGTAGTAGTAGTAGTAGAGGTAGAGATATCGATAACGAAAAGAACTCCAACAATGATGACAAGCATGATGACAGCAGTATCAAGCATCACAAATAACCATATCCTTAATCATAGCATAAGTATAATCATACTTATAATCAGAATCATAGTCATAGTCGTCATCATCAACATAGCAATTGTAGTAATACTATTACCAATGATCAGAACGGTCATAATAGCAATTGTAGTAACAAGGACAGTATTTGTAATATTCAGAATAGTAGTAACAGTAGTAGCAATACATATTCCACAAACTCATAAACATGGCAATAATAAGAATGATCGTTTTTGTACTCTCATTATTAAGAAATAATAGCAACAACAATGCGATCGATGACCACTCGAACCTGTTTTCTTTTATTTCTATGGGCTTGCTATCTAGCACTGGCCAAGCTCGATTGTCAAGGCACTTCTTTCTTGGCCTTCCTGAGTGCTGTACCGGAGGAGCAAACACAGATGTCAGATTCCGGTTACTGCAAGGTATAGACTCAGGTGAATCTGCGAGTCATGTTCAACATCGGCACCACCTGGGTCCCTACGCGGAGAGCAGATCCCAAACTCGGGTCTCCCTAGGCTCCCTGAAAAACCCTAGTACCCTAAGTGCCGTCGTCGGGCAACTTTTTCAAGACCGGCACAGGCTTGCCCCAGTATTGCACCGTGCGGCCCAAGGCTCTGCTTCGCCCTGCCGCAATAAAATGCTGTGCACGCGCTCTTCTAACGAAAGGCCCCTCGGCCCTAAATTGAACCTGCAAACCTTGAAGCCCTGTAAGCGAGAACCGGCCTGTTTGCCAGGCGGACGGGAAGGAGAAAGAAGAGGAGCAGAAAGGGCTTTTGGATCCAAGCCACAAGTTAACAGGGTGGAGGTTTATGTTGCAAACGTTTAAGTGCTTACGATCTACGGAGGATTGGCGCAGCAAGAAGACTGCTACCACAATCTGTCGCAGCTGTCGGTCAGTTAATGAGCATGTTTGTTTTCTTGCCGTGTGTCTTGTTGGATTGGCTTCACGTGGCGTGGCGGGCACGCAACCCTACAGCGTTCCCTCTTTTGAAGGACTGGACACAATCATCAAAGATGTAAGCTTCCCCTAAGATATTGCTCCTATATCTGCTCCTCCCACATCTGCGATGCAAGCTCTGGTTAACTGCATTCTTCTAGTAATGCCTTGCTTAGACTCTTGTGGAGGGCTATCGGCTTTTCATTTACATGCGTGGGTGGGTTTGGGGAGTAGAGTAGAGAGAGATAGCCTGACGTTCGTGTGCCCCATACCTGTGTTGTGCGCGACACCAAAGGTTTTCAATTGGTCATGCCAGGACGAGAACGCCGAGAATGTCGAGGAAGGCGGGAATGCTGAGAAGCCGAAGCAGGAGAGAAACGCACTTGAAAGCTTCAGGGTTTGCAGTGTAGTAAGGACGCCAGAACAGTCTTAAAGCGTTGATGTAGTGTTGCGATGGCTTTTGTGGATATAGTTGTTGTTGTTGTTGATGATGGCGGCGATGTCATGTCATGTCATGTCGTCGCTCTACTCGTGGCTGTCGTTGTGGCGGTAGCAGGAGCAGCGGCTTAGCAGCATCAGCAGAGCAGCAGCAGCCACAGCATCGGGATCATCATCAGCAGTAGCAGTAGCAGTCACAGTGGCAGTGGCAGTAGCAGTAGGACTTGGAGTGGTAGCAGTAGCGGCAGCGGTAGCAGTAGCAGTAGCAGTAGCAGTAGGAGCAGCAGCAGGAGGAGGAGCAGGAGTATGAGTAGGAGTAGGAGTGGGAGTAGGAGTCGGAGCAGGAGCAGTAGCAGTGGCAGCACTCGTACTACTAGTAGTACTAGTACTAGTACTAGAAGTAGTAGTAGTAGTAGTAGTAGTAGTAGTAGTAGCAGCAGCAGCAGCAGCAGCAGCAGCAGCAGGAGTCGGAGTAGGAGTAGGAGTAGGACTAGGAGTAGGAGTAGCCGCAGGAGTAGGCCGTGGTGTGCCGTGATACCCCGCGGTACTGGTAGTAGGAGCGGAAATCGCCATGCTGCCACCTGCTTACCTGTTGAATCATTGAAGTTGCTGCGGCTTTTACCGCCGCGGAGGAAGACGGTGGTGCCCCCGAGAACGGCCTGCTGGAGGACTTCTCAGACAGTGCGGCTGACCTGTTACCAGCAGGCTGTATTCCGGGGAATCGAGGAGTGGGGTTGGGGCGGTAAGGGTTGTTACAAATCTATTGTCGCTCTGGCATGAGTGTCACTGAACAACTGTCACCCGACAGGCTTTCCGATCGGCACCTTCGTGCGAATACGTCTGGAGGACTATCAGACAGTGCCTGATGAAAGCATCCACGACTGTCCGAACTCCAGTTTGTGTGGTTCACAATAAGTTCAAAAGGGCGATGGGGCAGGTATCCCAGACTGGAAATGAGCTTTCGTAGAAGTTGATTTAGCGCACACAAGACATAGTGAGGCACATGGAAAACACACACACATACGTATATTAATATATATATAATACATACTCTATATATAAATATATATATATATATAGATATAGATATAGCCAGTAGATGTACGTGTGTATATACACATATGTGTCACACACACACACATATCTGCATGTGTATGTATGCGTATATGTATACACACGTGTGTACGGTATCTGTATGGTATGTATATGTATATTTGTATACTTAAAGGGATATGTATATAATGTACATGTATGTGAGTATGAAAATGAATTTGAATATGACTGTGAGTATGTATGTATAGGTACATGTATGCATGTACACAGAAAAGAGAAGTAGATGTGCAAGATGTTTTGATCAGCCACCTTTGACAACCCTTCCCGTGTAGAGGATGTTCCCGCTGCCTGTGTCGCAGCGATGCGTGGGGAGAGGCACCAGAGCTCAGTGCGTTCGGGTGTGCGGCAGTACATTCCTCTTATGGTCCCTGTTATGTACGCTTAAACCCACTTTTTGTTATTATGCACCTCAAAGCCTAATAAATGTTGCCTGTCTATCAAGGCTCGGGATGCCTATGGAGCCAACCGTCTGAAAACAGGGATTGCATGATAGAGGGCACTGATGGTTTTTCCGTTGTATCACATGTCACAGCGCATGCTTAGGATTCGGAGTCTGGGCTGCGCCCGGCTGAGGCCACTGATTCTTGGTGGCTTACTACCGGGTGAGTCCCGGATGGGCCTGGCAAGGGCCTTACCGCCCCCTTGCTTGCTTCTTCTGTGCGAGACTCTGTTGCAAGACGCCCTGTGAGGTGCAGACCAGGATCAAGCGACATCGATGGCATCCGAAGCTGCTAAAGAGCTCCGACGCCCTGCTTCTGTCGGTTGGCTGGAGGCGTTTCCAGATCCTTGGCTTCTAAGCAGTACCATCCAAAATACTTAACCGCCGATATGCACGCTGGATCCTTTCAAGAGGCCGCACTGCAAGCCCCAGCAACCGAACCGAGAGGACCCAGCTTCCCTCTAACGCCAATCATGCCAATCCAAAAGGAGCTGAGAAGCCTCCTCAAGCTATCGAGAAGCCAGCTGAGGACTGTGCCGTGCTTCTCCCTGGAAGACCGTGGAGAGAAGCGTCAGAGACTCAAAAACACGGGGCCTTTGTACCTTGTTGAGGGCCCGATCTTGGTCCTTGTCCAGTCGGGCTTCTCCCTGCGTGGCTCAGATGAATACGTAGGTCTTAGAGCCGTAACCTAGTTGTGTTTCACCCGAAACTGGGGAGTGACGGAAGCGAGCGAAGGCTTGACATTGCTGAAAGTCTCCCTCAAAGGCTCCTCTTCGGAATCTTCTGCTCTGAGCCATCAACCGAACACCTCGAAACCGCGGGCATATGCATCGCCGAGGCATGCGCTACCTGAAGTACACGTTGGAGCATGCCCACTGCACCATGACCAGCTGCTTGCTCAGCATTGCTCTGCCCGTCTTCAGACGTCACTGCTACACTGTGCTTCCAATCTTGGTTGTTGCGAACCAGAATGCCAAGCTCTTCGCTGTTCTCCCGTCTGCCAGGCTATGGACCTATGGTTCCACCCAATACGGGAATCCTCGCGTTCAGGCTGCTCGAGTGATTGCTAGGGAGAGCTGGTCTTCGAAGCTCACCTGGATCCGTGACCCAGCGCACTCCCCATGCTTAGAGGGTCCTCAGTCCTGTAGAAGTTCGCGTAAACTTCGATCCGCATACGACCCTAGACAACCCCCGCGAGTCCAACGCCCTGTAAATTCTCAAGGTCCCAAGGGGAGCGAGAGACGTACAGACACAGAAATGCATACACGGATATAGTCGCAAACACGCATACGAACTTCAAAAAAGGCCATGCATGCATACACTCATGTATACGAACATCCTGCAAGTCCAAAGCCAGGCCAACAAGCGTGATCTTCAAGGCTCCTTTCAACCCCTGAAGCCTGAGCAGCCTCGAAGACCCTGGGCCTTCGAATCTTCTTGGAGCAGGAGCTGGGAGAAGGTTGGCCACTTCCGGGTGTGTGGCACTGGTGTCGCTCGAATCCCAGTCCGCCTTCTGCAGCGCAACACTTTGAGTCTAGTTTGCGTAAGCGCTGTGTGTGGTTGCTATGATCAACTTCTTTCGGGTTTTGACCAGTAATCTTTCATGTGTCGAACGACGCCATTCTTCACATTGGTATCCATGGTGCTGAGAATCGATGGTGGCGATGAGAATATAAGAAATCGTCGTGATACGCACCAAAGCTTTCAACCTGAACCCTTCACCTTTATACATCGAAGCTCAAGGCCTGAGCGTCTCTTTACGGTTTGCATTTATGTACCGGAGGGTTGCATCTGAAAGCCTGGGGTTGCCGAAGGCTTCAGGGTTCCAGTGTTCAGGCTTCCAGGTTTCGGGTTCTTCGGGTTTCGGAGGGCCCACACTCGAGACTTCCCGAGCAGGAATTGGGCTTGTGAGATCTGGGCTTGGGAGCTTCGACATGGTACTGAATACCTGGTACTGGGCTTCGGAAACATCGCAGCCTCCGCTCACCATGCGGAGCTAAGACCAGGTGATGGAGGCAGCGCCGAACTTTGAGGTAAAGAAGAAGCTTAAGCTCGTGGGTGAGTTGGCCACCCAGGATGTGTGATCGGGTCAGATGTGCAGCATTCCGGTTTGTGAATTGTGGGCTTTTCTGCATCGCATTTTAACTTTTGTGGTGTTCTCGGCGCTTCCCCGAGCCTTCTGCTGAAAACCTGCGGTCCCGACACTTGAAGACATGATGTCTGAGGCCGTAGATGCACCAAAACAGACCCCATCCGACTCGAAGCTGTCCTGACCTTGAGAGACCTCCAAAAAGTTTACCGCGGCCTGCGTGCAAGAACCCTCAACACGCAACACGCAAGGTCAATCCTCTAAGCCCTGAGCCCTCAGCTTGCCCTAAGCCCCCGCAACCCCCTCAACAGCCTGCTACCTGCTCAGGCCCTACAAGATCTTCCGGAACACGGCCTTCGTGAAGAACATGTTCAGCTCTGACCTGGAGGTCGGGTTAAGGCTTGAGGATTTAGGCTTAAGGGTTTTGGGAAGGTTCTGAAGCTCCCAAGTGCCAGGGATTCAGGGTTTGGAGAGTCTGGAGCTTGGTCTTCATGTCTTCTTGTGGGATTTTGGGATTTGCAGGGTTTAGCATGTGGATTTTAGGGGCCGAAGCTCTTGATTTCCGCAAATGATCTTAGGGTGTTCGGGTCTCCGGGTGTTTGGGCATTGATTCATGGATCTAGGATCATCTGCTCAAAGGCTGAATGGAATTGGTGCTTGACAAGGCTGCTTTCAGCCAGGACTGAGGCCATGAGCATGGCAGAGCTGCGCGCGTGCCCTTTGAAGAGTTTCGGGTGCAGCGCTTCTCGGTGCTTCGTAGGCAATGGAGATGTCGGAATCAGCTATACAGGCGGCAGGCAGAGGTTGTTCTCGGAAGGCATGTCTGCGCCAAATGCCCGGCAGCATTGTGACCACGATAGCTACAATCCATATGATCAAACCTTACACTCGAAACCCGAAAGCCAAGAAAGGCCTGCAGCCCGCAGCGGCTGCAGTTGCAGTTGCAGCAGCAGAAGCTGCCATCTTTAAGCAAGTTGAGTAATGTTTGGTTGGGACCATGGCCCCAATGACAAGTCAATGGACTTGGAATGAACATGTCGGATTATGTCCGGCTTCCTGATCGTCAGTGCCTCAAGTGTTGTCAAATTACAATTCAGCACTTGTATAAGTATTTCAACACGATGACTGTATATCAATGAAATAATCATGTCCATGCGTATTTCAACGATAACTTTAGTGATAGTGGTACTCCATCAGGCCTTTGGGCGCTCTTGCAGGCCTTTTGTCTTTGACGCGGGGCTTCTGCTTCTGGGGATTGCAGGTGAACAAGTACATGCATGCCAAGATCCAGACCGTGAGTGGCATCCGGGGCGAAGTGAAGAAGGCCTGCGCGGAGTTCAGTTTGATTGGATCTTTGAGATGCCATGGGCACCCTCGAGCCTTGAACACTGCCGAGATCACCTTGTCCTGAGAATCAGGTTCTCACGAAGGTTTGCGGTATTCCTGGAGACTTTAAGTGAAATCTCCGAGAGAGTTCCTCGTTGTTTCCTTCAGTTCTATGCACCCTCCTGCAGATCTATGACACTGCCTGAGTGTCGTGCGTTCTACATTCCCTTCATGGCGGGCTAAACCCTAAACCCTAAACCCTAAACCCTAAAACCCTATTAAGGGTGGGGTGTCGACGACCACGCCACCGCCCCGCCCCCTCAGCGCTGCCCAGGCCGAAGGTGTCAAAGGGCACTTCCGGGCTTCTTTCGAGGAGCCACTTGGGGCGGGTGGTGTAGGGGTTAGGGTGCTTTAGGGGTTTGGGGTTTTAGGGGTTTTAGGGGTTTTGGGGGTCTTGGAGGTTTTGGGCGTCAGGGCTTGAGAGCTTCAGAGGTTGGCGACTTAGCGGGAAGGTTTGGGGCTTTTGCGGTTTCAGGCTTTAGGCTCAGGGGTTAGGGCTTTTTGGGCGTTGAGGTCGAACGCTTTTGGGGCCTGAGAGGTCAAAAGGTTTTAGAGGCTAAGTTCCAGGTTTTGAGGCGCCGGTGAAAGCCTAACACTATCCCCAGTGAAACCCCAACTCCGGACCTAGATTCCAGTCGAACACCTGGACTCAAAGAGCACGTGAAAGGGACAGCCGATCAGCACGCTTCATCGCAGTTTTTGAGGTCTTGCGTTGTATGTACTGCAAAGTAGACTTGGTGGTTCAGGCTGCGCTGGGGTGATGCAGCGATACTACTGGGGACAGTGCATGCTGCGAGCTTCAGGACAGAATACTGATGTCCGACCTCGTCGTCTGCAAGCCCAGCTCTTAATGTTAGGCTCCTGCGGTCTTCCATTGGCTCCGTTGCTGAGGATGCCATGGACGCTAAGGTGCTGGATCACCGTGCCTTTCAAGCAGTGTGGCCGGCATGTTGTTCGTGATACTGGCAGGAGAGTACCCTGACCCCCGCTGGCCTGTGGCACAGCCCGCAATGGCCGTCCGTGGGCATAGTTCAAAGTCAGGGATCCCACTAGGGCCCGAATAAGTCATGCATATCTTGGTAGGTGTGTACCATAAGAATAAGAAGTACCCGCAAACTGCTCGCTGGTTTGGAACACACCCCAAATCCTGCGGCCAGGTTCTATCATCCCGTCATTGACGTGCCGAACTGGCGCCCAGCACGGCTTATTGGTGAGCTTCGAGCCTCACAAGGCCGCCGCCGGCCGTGTGGGGAGGTCCTCGCAGAATTTGAGCAGTCGGGGCGAGCTCGAGACTTTACACCCTTGGAGTCAGACCATAAGCCGACACAGTGTGGCGGTGCAAATCTTGAAGCAACGGGCTCCTCGAGCTCTGCGGTCATGGTTCACGGTCTCACGAATTTGTTCTGCGGTACATTATACAGTAGAGCTTGCTGAAACCCCCTTCCGCTTCCTCGTCTCTCAGGCATACCTGTTCCGGACAATCAAGACAGCAGAGAGCTTAGCTGCTCCGCGAGAACTTGCCAGCGGACATTTGCTGCCCACGAGAAAGAAACGACCAATCAGGTGCGCTTAGGTACTTAGGCTTTGTGAACTCTTTCATCCCAGTTCCTGAGCCGCTGCCCTTAGGCCTTCAGGCCTTCGGCTCTACCTCAAACTTACAACCGAACGAGGAAAGCAGCTGCTAGCAGCAGGCCCTAAAACACGGAAAGACAGATCCTAAACGCCGCCGAGGCCACTACGGGCGGCAGCTCGTGAGACCCGAGCGCCGCTTCAACGCGGTTCAAGTGCCGCGGAGCCTCCAGGACGACCCAGCAGAGACCTGTAACTTTCTGCACGGGTGACTGCATCTCGTTTTTGTTTAAAGTTGGTTACCATGAGTATGGGTTATCGTATACCTGCAAAGGTCCAGTATGAGTTCTATAAAGGTTGCTTCCAGCGTACAGGGGCTGTGACAGCTGACAGATAGATATTGATGTAGGCATAGGTACTGACATATAGATATAGCTATAGACTATAGGTGTAGGTATAAAGATAGGTATAGACGGGCAGATAGAGATACACATGCAGATGGTTCGATACAGAATAGATTATAAATTATATGTCCTTTACATACGCAGTTAGAACTGACATCTCTATGCATATGCAGCAGCTCCAGCATGCTAATACTTCGATGTCATACAGCAGCATGATTCTTATCCGAGTGTTTGGGGCTTGCGCTGCTGGTTTAGGCTTAAGCGGAGCGGAGTCCTTTTTTCATTTGAGCTTCATGCGAAGTTCCGGGCCGTGCACAGGGCATTTTCCCACAGAGCCCGAACACCTTTTGCTAAACCCCAAACCCCTTGCCGGAGCTAGCAGTCTGAGTTGAGTTTCGGAACTGGGTATGTTAGAGGCTGCCCTAAGTAGGGCCTCTACTCTGTGCTTGAGCGCTGAGGGCGGAAACCTAAATCGGTTTGGGGGTTTGTTGTTTCGGTTTCGGGTAGGACTTCAAGGTGGGTTGTGGAATTTTTCTAGGATTTCAACACAGTTTTGGGGCTTGGGGGGTTAAGTTGGGGATAGCTTGGAGGAATCCTCACGGTCCCGAGGCCACCTCGAATGATCCGTGCATCCGAAAACTCATTTGCGCCTTGAAAAAACCCAGAAACCACCAAACTCCAAAGCCTTCAATGCAAAAAAACCACCCTCCTCCGCACTCCTCACCCCTCCCCTCCCTACCCGCCCTTGCAGGCGTCGCTGCCTTTCAAGGCCAAGACCCGCTACTTGCCAAAGAGCCGCAAGACGGGCCTGGCCAAGAAGGCTGCAATTGCGCCGAACCCAGAGTTTTGTCAGTTCTCTCGAGACCCTCTATCTTCTGCTATAATATAATATAATATAATATCATATAGTATAATATAATATAGTATAATATATATATATAGTATAATATCTCATTCTACATCCGACCCAGATCCTAGCATATCATGCATCCGAAAACCTACTGCACCTTATTTTGCCCCAGGTTTCCAGCGAGAGGGAGAAGGCTGTGAACGCCCTCCTACACAGGCGCTCGTCAATCCTTTCTTTGGAGGTTTGAGTCCCGCGAGGGAGAATGCTGTCTTTCGTGGCAGGGCTTGAATCAATGCTGTAGCGCATAGCCAACCGAAGCAGCTCGCTGGTGGCAAAGACGTTTCAGCATGCATGTCGTTTACGTTGCCAGTCCTGCGCCAATTGAGAGCTTTGAGGCTTTCGTTTTTTCATAATCTGCAAGAGCCTTCATGGTGGGAGGTTATACACCATCCGCAAGGAGAAAGCGCGGGTGGGGCACTGAAGCAACGCCGGTTACCAGTGAACCTTCAGTGGGTAAGAGTAGGACTGCAAGCAGGCCGTCCTATCTTCTCTTCCAATATTCGATTGAAAACGCATGCTATCCCCAGCTTGGTGTAAGCTGTGACTAAGCTTCAGCCTTAAGCGTTCTGGGACCGAGAGCTCGGCACTTGGCTGGCTTGTTACGTCGTTGGTTCCAGGAGTTTAGAGACTGAGTGCTTCCTTTTGTCAGTGGCCGGCCATCTCGGCTTGGTAAGGTTCGGCAAGAGGCCAGCAGCCGCAGAAAGAAGGCAAAGGAAGTAAAGGACAAGTTCATTCAGGCCCGGTTCCTAAACCTGGAACTAAGCCCTAAACCCTAGTGTAAGTGCCTAAACAAATACCAATGTCATTCCTTGGGTTCCTGATCGTACTTGCTTTAAAGCATTTCCGAAAACCTTACTCTTTGTACTCTGGTTAGTAAGGCCGTAATATCAAGCCCCAAGTCCTGAACCGAAATGTCAAAGCAAATGGCGGCCTTGCACGCTGCGACCTTTCGCAAGAATGGATGGCCCAGGGAAACATTGGTGATGAAGGAGAATCCCAATGTAGAGGCCTAAGTGGTAACCCAAATAGTACGATCTCTCAAGGTCTTCTTTGGCAAAGCTGGTCCAGCACGATGGAGTGCTTTGGGTGAGCAGCAACATGCCACACGAGCAGCAGTACATCATGCAGCTCGTTAAAGCAATGGGTTCTTCCACAAAGCCCGAGCCCTTTGTCAGGAATCCCCCCAGAATCCCAAAGCACCCACCCCTGGACCAGGACAAGCGAGATGCTCATCAGAAAGAGTCGCGCAAGCTTCGGTACAAGAAGGAAGGACAGATCTGGTCTCAGCTCACCTGGAACCGTCTGCACCGCATACAAGCACTCTAAGCTCCACCCAAAGCCCTGCCTGCGACCAAGGAAAGTCGCGCAGAAGCGAAAGGCCATGATGATGGACTGACCTCGGACGGCAGCACCGGAAAGTCGTAGGCCTCGATTGGTTCGGCTGTCCGGTTCTCTTATGGGTCTTGGTGGTTGGGTACCGACAGTGTGCTCATGGCGCCATTTGCGGCGCCAACGTCGGCCCCCGACACAGGATTCTTCGGGACATTCAGCACCGGCGGCTGCAAAAAATCGGTGCACTTTCACTGATCTGAGCGTTTCTTCATTATTGAATCATAAGTGAGTCATGAGCGGTCGGAAGATAGACTCCAGCAGTCCGAACTAACTAGGTCCGCGGTTGCAAAACTCTTCTTCTTCTTCTTCTGCTCCTTCTTCTTCTTCTTGGTTATTCTTGTTCTTCTTCTTCTCGCCTGTACTCTCGTACTTAGCAGCAAACTGGTTGATTGCCCTTGCCGTTCCGAACGAAGCATAGCTCACACTGGGCTTGCTCTCATCTCCACATTACCGCAGCTTTTGGTTGACAGCTCCAAATCTCTCTGTAGCAGCCCCCCTCTTCCTCAAGCAGTAACATGT